GTAAATGCGCCTTGTCAAAAGAATGTCTCGAGCAGAAACCGCAAAAGCACATGCCAGCATTGACGACAGCTAAAGGGTCTCCAGAAGCAACATCTTTGAGGGCTTGTTGGACCTTTATAAATGAGTATTGTAGTTACAACTAAATCTGAAAGGCAAATCCCCTCGACTGGTACCTTTCCAACATTCTCAGTGACTTCCTCTTGAACAATCTCATCAACCTACAAGTCCAAATCTTGAGTAACTTGATCTCAATTTCAAACCATCTCAATTGCACATACGTACCTTTGATAATGCCTCGACTACACCACGAGCAGCAAGCCTTTGTTTGGCTGTCTTGGCTGCATCGGCAGCTGCTTTCTTATCGGCCTTCTTCTGTGCGGCTAAGGGGATAAGACGGTTTTAGTGGCATTCGTAAATCGAGAGCTTTCCTTTGGAATGGCAGGTACTCACCAGCAGCTTCCTTCACAGCTTTGTCAGCATTAGCTATATCGAATCATACGGGATTGTGAGCAATTCTGTTTGACGCGACAAGAATCGACTTTGAGAGTGGTTCCTAGTTGCTCACCCCGAGATTGCAAGTAAACTTCGGTTTCTGTTAATTGTGCGGTGAAATATTAGTCAATGAAACGAGTAATAATCAAATTTATACAATGCGATTCGAGTATCTGCTTCTTGACTTGATGTGGAAACATGGTGACAGCGAATGAGATGGTAGTGCAAACATCGGTTAAGGTTCAAGTAGAAGAAGAAGCAGGTCATTCGACGTGAATTGAGTTCAAATGTACATTCTTGCTCTGTTGGCACCCTCTCCATATCAAACAAAAGCAGAAAGACATAAAATTTCAATAATTTCAAACATGCCTTCGATTTCGAGACTCATGGTTGGCATAGGGGTTTAAAGTTGAGAGTAATAGAGATTGATGGTTTGAGGTCACGAAGCGATCCAAACCGATGATTTCTGGGTGTTTGTTTGTTATTTGGAAAGTGACGAGTATGTCTGACTTGATGTGATGAAATGTTGTATCCGGAGACACCCTTCGGCAGATGAGACGTTCACAGGAAACATGGAAAATGATGTTCATCACGTAAGCTTCGTCGCGTCTTTACGTGTCTCTTCTAGGTATCAATCGTTTCCACTCGAGATGTTGTTGTATGTCCCCAAGTCCCCCACGTGGTTATCCCTTTAAGGCAACCTAACAAGTAAGCATATAGTCTGCTATAGCTTCGCTCATCTCTTCCCCCCTCCTCAACATGACTCTCCTCTATATAGATGCAAGAATGGTAAATGATTTACCGGTTGTTTCCAATCTCACACGCGAATACCACAAACACAACAAAAGCCTATGCGGTCGCTCGTCTCTCGTAGTAACATTGTACCTCGTACCCATTGATGCTAGCTGTACTGTTCTGATTGCGCTAATCTGTGTAAGGGATTGCTTGCATTTGACTGATAGAAGAAGGGGCGAGTCTAAGGAGCAAACTGTTTGAAACCAACTAGGAACCTTCCAACCCATGGTCAACTATGTGGCTGCTTTCGGGTCAGCCCTTCTTCTTGTCTCTCTCCGCTGCAGCGCTGACTGGCATCAATCCACACATCTTGAACAGGCTGATTCTGCCGCCAGCCATCGCATCGACCATCGCTTTTGGCTGCATGATCCCGATATTTGTGTATTATGAAGTAATCAGCCATTCCAGACCCGCAATCTCTCTCATTGTCTTTGTCTTGTGTGAGTATTGTACAATACAACAATAAGTCTAGCATGATAACACTTGTCGTGCTTACAACCTCACATTGTATCACCTAGGCAGGACCATAAGCTATATTTTACGATGCCTAACCATTGCGTACTACCCAACAGACTTCAATCTGTACTTGGCTGCCACAATTCTTGCAAGTGCTGGCTACAGTTTTGTGTTGTCGTGCGTGATTTCGACACTGGTCGTGTAAGGACTTCGAGATGATTACAGTTTGAGATGATCTCTCCGTCGCTCTCATTAGTAACGAGATCCTTACATCTAGTCAACTTGAAGCTCAACGAAAAAGTTTGCTGGCTCGATTCGCCTTCTTCTTGCAAGTTGTAATATATGCCTATCTCATTGGAATGATTGTGACGTTGATCGTAGTCGGTGTGAATCCGTCACCTGAAAGCCGGGGACTCACTGCACTGATATGTGCTGTTTCCTTCATTATCACGATTGGGACTGTTGTCACCTTGTTTCTGAAACGAAGTCAAGTAGCTCCCATCAGGGTCAGTTACTTTCGTGTCGTATGGCATGCTTCTATCAATCAAACAACCTCACTGACCTGCAACACGAACAAATATAGGCTCGCATGATTGTACTCGTGCTGGGTTTACTAATTGGAATACGAGCAGCATATCTTATCGTCTCGTCATTCCAACCTGCTCTGACACGTGGCCGAGAGAATTATTACTATGGGTTTAAGACCGTGCCAGAATTTTTGAGTGCCGTGATATACGCAATTCCGAGAGTCAATGCCTTTTCGATAGCTCACTGGGCAACGAGTAAAGAGATTACACGCCCGAGGAATGGGAGGAGTGCCCCATCAGGGGAAAGTACTTCAGATATATCACAACAGCTATCTGATACAAGAGTTAAAGAAGGTGATACCCCACCGAAAGTGGTTGTAGCATAATTTATACTTAAATCTAGAGAAATGATATATAGTTCAAAAGTGCAAATACGCTACAGAGCAAAATCGTGCGCATGAAAAAGGGACGAAAAATTTCAAACGGATCGAAGGAGAGAATCGAACCTCTGCCGATATTACCGGCCCGTAGCTGACTTTATAATATTTGAAGGCTACGCGTTGCACCAGCAACGCTCATCAATCCGAGGGACTCTGCACGGTTTTGATCTATATATTCGCAAAAGAAACTAAAGAAACATCAATTTCAAGTAGGCTACCTTCCTGGCGATGCCCTCCGGTCTTGAGATGGCGACTCTGTAGCAACTTTTCTTTCTTTGGCTCTGTTGGGACATCAAACGTTATTAGAATAACGAGGATACCACAACAACCAGTCGCGAGCGCTTTATGGCATAACTTGCTATTCGATCCGAATCGAGTAGTACTATGATCTACCTTAGAAACCGTGCAGGCCTCTATGAGTTGTAACAGCTACTTGGGGGTTCATCAACGACCAAAACATCCAACTTTCAAACTTAAACTTGGATCAAAGAGCATTTGGAAGTCATTTGTTACGAATGAGGTTAGCGTGATATTTCAAGATCAAGAATGGCTTCCAACCTAATCACGCAAGAACTGTGGAACTCTGTCCCCAACACGTTAGCCAAAATCATGGCGATGAGATCGGCGTTCTGGCTATTTCTTGTATGTATCGTGACTCCTCCACAGACTCATTCCAAGCATCGGAAGCATTGTCGTGGAAACAGTTTCGGCGCCGTTTACTATCTCCACCTTCTCAACCTTTGCAATCTGAAACCAACTTTAGCTTTGGAAGTTTATATATTAGCATCAACTTGGAAACCTCGGATACATCTTCACCACTACCGAATTCGAAAACTACGAGCAATGTTAGCTGTTGCTAATGGTGCGGTTGCAGGCGTGCTTGCAATTATACCGGGTAGTTGAGATGGTCTTGAGTTTTGCAAGTACTAACCACCTCACTGTTTGGTTTGTTAGTGGGCGAAAGGGGTACAAATATCGTAAATCTTGCTGTTCGTGGTGGGTATAGTGTCGTTGGAATGAATTCAAGATCAACATTTGTGTCGTTAATGGGCCCGTTACATCCACTACTCATTCATATCGCCGATTGTAGCAAACGCAAAGCAACAAGCTGCTGGTAGGCATATCGTTCTGATTCGGAAGCAAGTGTTTTGTTTTGATTCAAAAGTCTCAACCATCTACATTCGTCAGCTGCTGCAGCTGCCGGCGAAAAGAAGGCTGTTGCTGTTGAAAAGAAAGCTGCAGCTGCGACGGCCGCTGCAGAAAAGAAGGCTGCTCAACCATCAAAGGCAGCCCAACTTGCTATTGAAGGCTGCTCAACCATTAAAGGCAGCCAAACTTGCTATTCGTGGTGTAGCTGATGTAGTGGGCGAAGTGTGTCATTTGCCTGTTTTCAGTGCAAATGTTATTTGATGTCGTTCTGATCTAGTTACACATATTAGGTCCAAAGCATTGCTCAAGATGAAGTTACTGAAAATCTTGGAAAGGTATGCCTTTTTCTACAACATTAGTCTGGTTGAGCGCCTCTTTTCTAACATGCTCATTACACAAGTTCATCAAATCCTGTATCTACTCACATTTTCACCTGTCTCCTCGGATCAGTTACTGCTGGTGATCCGCTCGCCGTTGCCAATGCCGGTATGATGCTACAGCGCCCGACTTAAACGAGTCATACGCAGATTTTGATTCGTTTGCAACCTCTTTCTTGATACAGCTATTGGCGCAGATACCACCTTGAGAGGTGGAGACATTGCATCAACAATGAAAAACGTTGGCGTTGGGATTGTGAATGAGGTTACTGGTGATTTGGCCAAAGTTTCTGGACTCCTCGGTGCAGGTGAGTGTTTGTCTGTTGTATCTCCAAAACTTCGTGTCGCTGCAACAGAGCAAATTCAATGACACAACTGCTTCCATATTCTAGTGGCCAAACAAGTTGGCTGTTCGTGACTTGGGTGACAAGGTCAAAGCTGAAGTTGCAGCTGATAAAGCTAAAGTTGAAACTGAACTTAATCCCGAGCTCATTCTCTAGCAAATACGAAATGTAGACCTACTTTTTATAGAGAACTTGGCAACATTGAGCATGTCTTGAAATGTCGCGTGTTTTACCTCTGTTTTCTCGAAGTAAAACACGAAAAGGAGAGGCCGTAACTCTTTACTAACGCGTCGAGATACTTAACCCCACCGAAATTCAGCGTTTATTTACTACTCTGCCGCGAAAATCTCGATTCAAAAGCTCTCCAAACAGCTCAACTTCAACAAAAGCTCAAACCAGCTTTCAGCCAATACAAAACAAATGACAAGACCAGAAGCCTGTGAATCCGTAGGAACAGAATTCCGATCATGCGTCGACCGAGTAGGATTCTGGGGCCGTCTAAAAGGAGATTGTGAAGCTCTAAAAGTTGAATTTGAATCTTGCATGTCGAGAGAGGTGAGCATTGTTGAGTTTGCATACTTAAGAAGGCTTGGAAGATCTATGAGGATGTAGAATACCAGAATGTGGCTCCTTGTTTTGCGATGGGAATCGGTGAAGCTGAATCATTTGGTCCCTAGTGTGTGATGGGAACAAGAGGCAAATGATTGCATTATGACAGCAGTCATCATAGTTTTTTTTTTCGCTCACAGCACAGTCACACACAATCATCATGCCCGATTCGTGAGGACCTGAACTGAAAACAAGCCTTTCTAACAAATTTCATCCAAACATGTAGCTTCAAAAGAGACGCTCCGAATCACTAGAAACAGCTCGAGAGCGAAAAAAGAATTGGAAGGAAAGAAATCAAGCTGCTGGATTACCAGCTGGTCCTTGAAAAGGACTTCCAAAATCAGCAAGATAGTCAGTTTCCCGTTACTGAACTCATACTAAAGCCCTCTGTCGATACAATCATACATACAACATACACTCTCTGTCGATAAATACAATAATAGTTTGCATTACTTACTATCAGCTTCGTCTATGTCTGCTTGCTGTCTGTGGTGACCAAGTTGTTATTGAAGTACCAATAAGCAACGCCATTTGCCAGTTCCTTTTTTGCGCCATTATATTTCAAGATACTTGAAATTTTTTTATGTACAACACAAATGACCTATGTTTTCAAACTTCTATGCAGCCCCAGTGAGCTTTCGAACTTGCTTATCCCGACTCGTTCTACCAAAGACATGAATGACTCCTTGTTCAGCCAATTCATTCAATAAAGTATCGAATTCTGCTTCACCAACATGCTAAAGTGAAAACCAAAATAAGTAAGTCCATCATGTACCATCAGTAGTGACCACGACCACCACTACTAACTCACTTCACTAGACATATCATTAAACTCTCGGAAGAGTTGCAAGAACGGTGCAGTTGGCTTGCGCATAGCTTTTACCATCTCTTCCAATCCACGTCTTTTATCATTGTGAATACGACGTGATCCAGCTGATATTCCGGTAGACACCAAATCTAAATCAATACGGCCAGTACGTGGGTCTACTGCACTAGTCTGCATTGCACTCAAAATGAGTCTGGGGAGAGCAGAAATACTCATGTTAGGGGTGAACAAAAAAGACCTTGAGAAGTAAGCTTGCATACCTGTTGGCTTCTTCAACATCTTCAGCGTCAACAGTATTCGATAACCTAATCACGACAAATTTATTTATTAGTCTCAACTCGACCAGGAGCAAAAAAGCTATTCACACTTCTCGAATTTCTCTGAGAAACTAACCTCATCTTAGCATGTGCCTCAGACAGCCGAATCATGCTCTCCAATTGACGAGTCGTAGCAGTAACAACCTTATGGTTGCCTTGTTTTCCCATTCTACGCATATCTCCATAATTCTTGATCAAAAGAGCTCCAGCTTCTTCTGAGATTATGGGATGGAAGGTCTTGGCATAGTTGATGTACTTTGTGAAGTCTTCTAGAGGCTATAGATACAATCGCATTTATGAGTTTTGATAATTCGTTTTTTGGCATTGGTTCTACTTTCAATTTGACACTGCTTACCAAGAATTGTACAGAGGACACGTTAGGACGATCTTCCAAGTATAAACCAACCAAATGTTGAGCAAGACGACGATCATCTCGTTCATTTGGTTTGTCCAAGACCAGGTACAACAAATCGAATCTGCAAAAAAGTCGAGACGATATAAGTGTATGAGCGTTGAATTCTCATATGATACTTGAAATGTAAGAGTTTTTCATCATACCGAGACATAAGAGGAGGAGGCAAATTGATGTTTTCAACAATGGGCAACTTGTCATCAAATTTAGAATGAATCGGATTGGCACAAGCCAAAATGGACGTTCTAGCATTCAGAGTAGTGATGATCTACAAATCAGCAGGAGAAAAATGAGATGACTTTGACTTGCGCAGAAAAATGTATTGAGATTTCTTTGAATAATTGACGTACGCCAGCTTTAGCAACAGAGATGGTTTGTTGCTCCATGACTTCGTGCAAGACGGAACGAGTATGATCCGACATCTTGTCGAATTCATCAATACAACAAACACCACCATCACTCAATACCAAGGCACCACTAGAAGGGATTGAGATGTATGTGTAAAATGTATTGGCATAATTTTTTTCCTCAGCTCAATACCTTTCGAGAACAAGTTGTCGGGTATCTGGATCTCGAGTCACATAAGCAGTGAGACCAACTGCAGACGATCCTTTACCAGAAGTGTAGATTCCACGAGGAGCGAGTTTATGCACATACTGAAGGAATGACAAAAATTAGAATAACTCGGTATGTAGGCTCTATGGGTGAACTACTACTGACTTGTAACAACTGTGATTTGGAAACACCAGGATCTCCAACAATCAAGACGTTAATGTCACCTCTAATATAATAGGATGAACACTTGTTTAGTAAGGTTGAGGGAGTCATCTGTGAATTCCAAACTTGCCTGACACGTGGACCACCACGGCCTGGCTCAGAAAACTTGTTGTCTCCTCCAAAGAGTTGAAGCAATGCACCCTTCTTGACGTCATCCATTCCAAAGATTGATGGAGCTGTTGTCAGCAAACAAATCAGCCCATCGACTGTACGTATGGAAGGATTTGCGAAACATACCAACAGAACGAGACAATAGCTCATAGAGATCAGGTTTCTTTGCAATTTCTTTCATTCGTTCCTCCACTTCAGCACTGTCGATACGTAATTGATCTCCTTCCTCGAAACTGGTGAAAATTAAAAGCAAAATGAGATGCGTGGGAGATGACCATATTGCCAAAGCTTACTTGACTTGGTATTCATTTTCTGCTCGGATACTTTGATCAACACCAACACGTTTCTTGTCTGTTCTCTTGATGTGAACCACATCTACATAAGTCCTAAACAAGGATTTCACTGTTCGTTGTCTTGGATTGACACGAACAGGAACACCTCGAAAGATTCCAGTAATCTCGAGACTAGGAACGTGCGTGTGTTAAGTATCATATCTTGGGTGGGTTCTCAGCTTTTTTCCTCACCGATCACCAGGTTTGGCTACATCAACAAGATCATCATACATGTACAACGCGACAGTGTAGGGAGTTTGACCATCGGGAGTCTCGTCTGATAAACAGTTTGAGGTCAGCAACTCAATCACAAAAAAGCAATATCTCCCAGTCAATGCCCACCAGGAGTCTCTTGCATCTTTGAAACTTGCTTGTCAGAAAACAAGCATCGATTATGAACGAGTCTCATCGAGTTCTTCGCTTTACAATTGTCGAATTGGCAGACAGTTGGTTCAGTAACACGACCACGATCTACATCTACTGTGACGGTATGATCACAGACAAGACATCTAAAGAAGCCTTGCTTGATATCGGGTATGATGGCAGAAGCTCTAATCATCAATCCTTTGACAGTAACCAATTGATCAATGTCTGAAGGATTGAGTTCTCTCATGTTGACTACACGGTCAAGATTGAAGGGTCGGACCTGTCGAATGACAAGGAAAATTCGAAAATGTCAATTTATTATCTGTTGTGATATCTTCAGGATGAGCACAAACCTTTAGTCCGGCTCCTTCTAAATCAACATCATCATACAAGTCCAAAAACAACTCGGTCAATGTATGATCCATCAATGGAATGATTTCTTGTGGGTATCGCAAAAGTTGATGGTACAGTTTGAGAGAATCACCATGATGCTTCAAGTTGAGACAATCCAAATTGACACAATATTCTTCTGCTTCTTTCAACTAGATTTCATGTGTTTGTTAGTTCTTGCGCACAAAAAAAGGACAGAGATCCATCACCAACATACCTGAGCAAGAAGTCGAGGATAAAACGGCTCACGATCCGTATCCATAATAATAGCATTAGGATCTTCAGCCATCAAGCGAGTCTCCATTTTAAAATTCTCAATAAAAGCTCTAAATATCACCATAGAGTCCTGAATATTTACCGTCGTACCCCATACAAATGATTTAACATTTGCAGGATCAGCACTGGTTCCAGGCGTTTCTTCTTGTTCAGCAGGACGATCAGGTTGTGCCAATATACGATCCAAGATTTGAGAATTGACATCACCACGACGACGCGCAGAGTGTGGAGATTGTGAGTGGTTTATGCGACCTCTACCGAATGGCGTTCCAAGACCTGAAGCTGGTGAGCCTAGAGAGCTTCCGTGAGTGGCTCCTGGACGAGCATCACCAATGTCTGATGAAGCTGGGTATGCCAATGGAGAGGCTTCGTAATTCGAAAACATGAATTGTTAGACAGTTTCATTGTGTGCAGCTTTCGCAGTTATCCGCTTGTTTTGGCCTACCTGCGAAATCACGTCGTAGAGCAGCATTCAATCTAGCAGCCGGAGTAGCAGCCAAATGTAATTCCGACCCATCAGCACGTAGTGCACCAGCAGGACGTCCACGCTGAGCAGACCCCATCAGCATACCAACCATTCCACCAGGAGTAGCTACTCCTTGTTTGGAAGGAGTAGCCTGCTTGGAAGGGGTCGAACCACCAAATGAAGATAACGTGGATTTAAATAATACGCCACCAGATTGTGGTTCAGGTCGAGCACCTCCATTAGTGGCAAGAGGTGAAGAAGCAGCAGATGACTGCGCTTGTTGTTGCTGCTGTTGTAAGGATTGGCGAGGATTCATTCCTGGAGAAGGAGCAATGTTGCTGTCATCATCTAGCTGCATCATGATATTATTGTTGTTGTTATTATTGTCTCCTTCATTGTTGGCACCACCAATATCAGATGAAACAGCCGGTCGCCTTGATGTTGGACCACCGGCAGCTCGTTGTTGGGTAGGAGTAGTAGTCTGTGATGCTACACGTTGCGATGCACGTGAACCTGGTTGTGACCTTGCACGAGACCTTGGAGTAGTGTTTGCTGGCTGTTGTTGATCATCATCTTCCGCTGGTCTTTTATTTGGCGACGACATTTTTGGATAGATCTAGTTGAGATTGAAGGATGTAAGTATATTGAATAATACGATTGAAGATATATTGGCATCGTTTCTCACCTCGTTCAATCTACTTTTGCGCAGTTCTGAGCTCTTTAAGCAACTCTATCGTCTTTTGAAAACGAGGAAGCGAGCTTGGAATGAAATGGCAGGAAAAAACGCGTATTGAAGCATGTAAAATTGAATTTTCGGGCTTAATTTACGAATGAAATTCGAGAATAACACATTGAGGCTTCTTCTTGGCCTCCTTTTCCGTTCACTGACAAAAACCTGGCGATTGGACGAGCATTTGCAGTCTGTCAGCAGAAACATATGTCTGACGAGTTTTTGATATAGCGATTTCTCGCTACCAGAGACGATGGTCATGGATGACGTGGCGAGGACGGGACGGGACAAGGTGAGGATGCGTTGGTTTGATAGGATCGTTTTGTAAGCTTCTAACTCAAAATCACGTTCATCATAGCAAATCTATACATCGGATGGCGCTAGAGAAGTTGTTGGAGTGGTTGCAATCATCAAGGAATCCAAGGTGCGTAGTTTCACTCTTGTTAACTCATCAATTACCGTTCATGTCCAATGCTGACACCAATGTCTGATTAGCAAATAGTGCTTGTATCATCTCGCAAGCATGAGAAGTACGTTCTTCCCAAAGGCGGGGCAGAAAACGATGAAACGTTTGAAGAGTCTGCTATTCGCGAGTGTTGGGAGGAAGCTGGCTGCTCCAAGGGCACCATTACCAAGTTTCTGGCTTCATATGGACCTGATGATGAAGTTACGTTGCTAGCTAAGCGGAAATCGAAGACGAGATTCACCTTTTTCGAGATGGATGTCACGTCTTTGGAAGACAAGTGGCCTGAATGCAAAGAAAGGACTAGAAAACTAGTAAGAATACCTGTTTTTGATTGATCTGTTCGCTTGAAAGGGAGCATTTTCGTGACATCACACTTTCTCTTAGGCTTCATATGACGAAGCTTTGGAAATTTTGAAGGATCCGGTCTTCCTTGCAGCTCTGAACCTCTGTTCCCTGGCTCCCACATGATTGGAAACAATCGCCTTTTGCTCGGTATGCACAGATACATACATATGTTAGACTAATAGATAGACGAAAGTGGGCTACAGTACCACTTGATCATTCTTTTTAATAACGATGATCACATTCTATGTTTTTTTACACAACAGTGCTAATATTTACAAACATGCATTACATTATACCATCAATCATCGTCGAGATCTCTTTTTAAATCGTTCCATAGTTTGATCATCTGTAGCTTTTGAACCACCCTTTTCCGTCTTCCGTTTCTTGCCTTCCTCTTTGGAAGTGCCTATACCAGCCAGTTGCGGTGGTGCTCCATCACGACCAAATATAGAACCATCAGTATCAGGACCAGTCTTGCCATTCCAGAATCTATCAGCCGCTGCAAGTGTTGATCCTATGTAAGCTATTGGGTCCTTATTTTTGTTCTTTTCTCGTTCTGCGACTGCTCGTTTCTTTGCTACTTCTGTATCTTCTATATTCTTTAGCTTGGCCCTATGAAAAGCAAGAGATGTTGGATATTGTGCATGGACTGTTCACCACACGAAGAGGACTTACTGTATGCCTAAATCGATTTCCGGTATGGCTGTCAGCATACTGGTGGAAAGGGTTACGTTTCCTTCCTTTACTTTAGCTTTTGGTAACTGCACGCGATGCAAAAAAGAGTTCTCAGAAGCTTGCTCCATGCATGACAACATCAGTGTCACATTTACCTGTAAGTAATCCGGTATATGAAACAAATCATCTTCATGATCAACCTGTGCATGGTCGGCTGAAGGTTCGTCGACCGTCTGTTCACTGGTATCTCCTCTTCTCTTTTTCAGCTCTCGTTCAATATAGTCCCGCCTAGTCGAGGATGTGAGAAATCAGCACATCATCAAGAATCACTCACACGACGAGTGGCTTACATGAGAGCATCTGTATCCATAGCATTCGACTGAGTAGTGAATTGTCCAGAAAGTTTATCAGCCCTGTGATCATTGAGACAGTAAGTCGAGCTGCGTAGCTTGGTAATACTGCATCAACTAGCATACTTTATTAGCGTGGGATCTACAAAACCACCACTGAATGGATCAGCAACAGGCTGTTCGACTGGTTTAACTACTTTTTGAGTTTTGGGATCTCCCTTCATTAAATCAGCGGCAGTCATTCCTTGAGTCCGTTTTCGAAACTCTCGTAGCTCTAGAGCGTCTTGGAGTATCTGCCTGTGTTGATTGACCAGGTTGAATCAGTAAAAGGAATGCTCATTGTCGCAAATGTACAATGCAAAAACACACCTGTGGTCGTCTGTAGCTTGAGCATCGTTGGATTCCTCAACATCCTCTCCATCCGATGTAGGCTTCTTACGTATGGAACGCTTGGTAGTCTTCTTGAACTTGATGGCCTCGCTCATTGGTCGTGGAATTTATGAAAATTAGACAGCAAGGAGCTATAGACATTGCCAAAAAGCGCGGACGTATAACTTTAACACGTAAATACGCGTGCTTCACGTCAGATTTACCTATCAACCAGCGTATCAACAAGGCGCGTCGTTAGTCGTCTCGTCATCTCGTCGTAATATTTAAAGCTTCCAACCATTACACTCACCGATCGGTCTATATCCAGAGTGACGGAGGTCAACTCCTGCAAAGATTTTATCAAAGTCTAGTCAGCAGTGGCGGGAACACGGCGTCACCTACTACAAGCAGCGAAAATACTGGCTGGCGAGTGAATTCTTCACTCGAGCCATGTACTCACTAGCATCGAATGATTCTGATACCATCAAACTGTATTTGAATTGGCCAAGGACCCGAATCAACCTCGATCAGCCTTGTGGAGCTTATGCTGATATAAAGTATATATTGGATCTTCTTGATAAAGCTATCGAAAACGCAGATTTGGTTAAGGCTCATTATCGGGCTGTCAAAGCTGCGTATCTGCTTCAACCGTATGAACTTGCCAAAAACCATATTCAGCCTTGTTTATTAGTACAAGAGTCTTCTGACATGAAGGATCTTTTCGTGCAAATAAATAGCAGAATCAGAGAACGGAATACTGCCATATACAGCTTGATCAATTATGGAATTCGGAGCACGACGTCGCAGATATCGCAGATTATCTTGGTCGCATTTGTACCAAAGCAGTCGCAGAAATGGGAGGAGGCCGTGGTCTCTTTCTCACTCGTGGGAGATGGGAGAGCTCCTCTTGGTCTGTAAGCCATTCGTATATGTGCCAAAGAAGGCCGCTCTAACTGAAGTTGGTCAGGCCCTGATATCAAAAAACTTCACGTTTTAGAGAAAACATCGTTGCACGTTGCAAAGAGAGTTTTGCATCGTGTCATGAATGATTCCACTACACTGAAAGCTCAAAAGATGTGCCTCACACTGTCATCATGTTGGATTTTTATAGTCGTGGTTATCTCGCTCAAGCACCACGTGCTCCTATAGTGGACCTCAAGCTATTTGACGACATTTGCACCAAAAATTGGCACGAAATCAACGATCAGGAGAAATCCACCAACGCAGCTGACTCTGGAGTATTGATTTCAGCTCTAGGAGGATTTAAGAAACTACTGCTTTGTATTTGGTTCCATCTTGCGCAACCATGCCTGCTTCTCCAACGTGTTTACTTGGTTCAACGGCTAGTATTGCTGATTTCATGTCTCTGTTCAATATTGCATGGTATCTAGTGTCCGAAATATAAGCGCCTGCTGTTTTCAGGCGATGCCATAGTCTTTAAAGCACGTCAAGACATGAAACGAGGAACGCAGCTCTTCGGCTCGTACATTGACGCACACACTGGTTTTTGACGAGCGCTCTGCCCAGCTGAAGTCACATTTTGACGGCGTAGCCTGCAAATGCGACTTATGCAGTGCCGACTCCCAGGACAGTACACAAGCTCTTCAAACACGAGCCCGACTTTCCAATCAATTGCATCGTCAATATCAATGTTTTCTGCGCCATTTCCTTCAATTTTGGCGCAAATCCGTAAAATGATGCCACGTATACACCAACCCTTGAAGCCCGAGACGACATTACCCCTTTTGAAGTTGGTATACTCTGCCACCTTCGGAATCTATCAGAAAGACAACGACAGGATCCGAAAGGGCACCAAGTACGGACGAAGAGCAGCATTTGACTTTGGCTTGAAATGGTCTGAAAGCAAGACTAAGAGGAGTGGCTATAGGATTGTCATTAAACAACTACCACCTGGCCATGCAACTATTGTGATTATTCTTCTCATCACACCTTCAGAACTGTAAGTTTACAATGAGTAGAGATTGTCAGATTCGTCGATAACGCTTATCTTTATATCTGATTAGACATCTTGCTCTTGGAGATACTGAGTCCTTGAAAGGCTGGATGTAAGCAGCAAAACAGTTGTTTTGTGCCGCCTATGTAAACGACTCGACGTTCTTCATTGACGGATTCATCGAGAGCAATCACCCCAATATGATGAAGTATGCAATGTAATCCTATAAGGTTGGAGGAAAAGTGGGACAAGCGCAATGTACAAAGAACAGTGGTAATAATAGTCCAGATGCACCCCTTTGAATGTTTAGGCCAAATTTATAAATGCAACAATTGTATCTTTTTTTGGTAGCCAATGTAACAAAGCTAGTTTGGCATATATATCTCATCGTCCAGATGCTATTCTTAGATCAATAGCTTTTCGATTTCAATCTTGATTGCATCAATCTGAGTCTTCAATTCGGATGCATCATTCTGGGTGACTGAAGCTGAGATGACGGGTCTAGATACACCACAGGCACGTCCCAGAGCTTGCTTTGAAGGTACAAAGACGTATGGTACGTTCTAAGGAGGTGGTGGAGAGAGGTGAGAATGAGCTTCTGTGATCGACCGGTGGGCGATGCTTTTTTAGCCCGAGCTTCATTACATGGCAACCAACTACCGGAAGAAAGTTCGTTCATTACCTTGTCTTCACATAACAAGGGCAAATGCAACAAGATTTCCAATGGATCGGTGTCTGCAGTCATGACGATGAATTCAGCAATACCGCGGTTGAGGGTCTTTGTAGCTGCGAGAAGAGTAAAGCAATGGAGTGAATACACTTGTCAAGAATGGAACTAGATCAATACAACCAATGCATCTCTCTATTACCTTCGTTAGCACCCTTCTTCAACTGCTTGTAATGAGAAGCTTGCTGGACCAAGTCCATGATCTTGTTGCTTAGTTCGGGAGGAGCCAATGGGAATGCCTTTGGATTGATTACTGGAGCTGCTGAAGCCTATTGTATTTGGGGTTGGTTGGCTTGGGATGCATTGCTTCAAAATGTGTTGAAACATACCATTTTTTTTTGCTTTAGAATGTGTGATGAGATTAGATTATACTTGATGGGATGAGGCTGTACAAGACTCAATCGCAGTTAATAGCTGCGAAATCCTTGTCAGAGACGTGAAAGGAGCTGTTGCTTGTGAGCTTGGTCGAGTTTGGTAGTGAACAAAAAAAAAAGAGTTGACTGTTAACAAAATACGCTTTAGACGTAGAGGCAATCCACCACAAATAGTAAAGGGAGACCGGTGAAAGGTAAAAGCTGTACGTGATTTAACCTTTATTTGTATTATAATCGATCTATTTCCATTCTTCTACCAAACTAACAAGACTTTCAAAACACGTCAGCAACCATGGCCACTCACGGCATTCAAGTCTTTGAGGATATCGTCAAGTCAGAGGCTGACGATAGAAGCTACAGGTAGTTATTCCAGGCATTTATTCTCGTCATTTGACGCGTAACTATGTCGACTGACACAACATCAAACAGATTGGTGACATTGTCAAATGAACTCGACATCCTGCTCATATCTGATCCAACTACCGACAAGGCTTCGGCTGCTTTGGATGTGCATGTTGGCCATCTGGTAATATTGAGACATGCACTTGAATACGGTTGGATCAATTGTGGCTCACGCATTGATGTTTTGGAAAAGGTTGACCCAGAAGAAGTTGCTGGCCTCGCTCACTTTTGTGAACATTTATTATTCATGGTATGCACCCAACGAATCACGTAGTGAACTCCTCCACCTCGTAACTTGTTGACACGTAACTCCACACAGGGAACCGAAAAATACCTAGAAGAGAACGCATATAACTCCTACCTCTCCGACCACGGTGGAAACTCGAACGCATTCACAGCCGTCGAAGACACAAACTACTATTTCGACGTGAATGCAAACCATCTAGAAGGAGCTCTCGACAGATTCGCTCAATTCTTTATCGCACCCCTGTTTCTGGAAAACACGACAGATCGCGAACTCCAAGCTGTAGATTCAGAGCACAAGAAGAATCTGCAGTCGGATTCATGGAGGCTGTTTCAGTTGGAGAAGGATTTAAGTTGTCCGACACACCCATATCACAAGTTTGGCACTGGGTCTATGGAGACGTTGAAGGATGATTTGGTTGCGAATGGGAGGGATATTAGGAAATACTTGTTTGATTTTCATGATTCGTATTATTCGGCTAATATTATGAAATTGGTTATACTTGGCAAGGGTAAACGATTTGAGTGCAATGGCTTTCGTCGACAAAAACATAGAGGTCTCAGCCGCAACATACTCTCGTAGAGCCATTGGATACTCTGATGGAATGGGCTGTATCAATGTTCTCAGCAGTCAAAAACAAGAGCATCAAAGTGCCATCATTTCCTGGCCATCCACTTACTTCCAACGAGCTTCTGGTATGCGAGTCATGGAGTGTTACTTCAGATTTATTTCTCATGTTTTACCCTCACACAGAAACAAATACTGGTCAAACCAGTCAAAGATATGAAGCTTTTGGAACTGACGTGGCCCTTCCCTGATACTACCCAAGACTACAAGATTCATGTAAGGTCAAAAAAACTGTCATTTATGTACCATCGCAGCACCAACCATTATGTTGCCTTTAGCCTGCTGAATACATATCGCATTTGATTGGTCACGAAGGAGAAGGATCCATTCTCGCAGTCATCAAACAACGTGGTTGGGCATTGTCTTTGAGCGGTGGTGTACATAGCGGTGGAACCAACTTTGATTTCTTCAAGATTAATGTGGAGTTGACTGATGAAGGCTTAGGTACTCGTCATTTTGCGGTAAACTTTATTTGTTTTGCGCCCAAGAACTAAATTCCTACTGTTCATATTAGGCCATTGGGAAGAAATAGTCGTTATTTGCTTCCAGTACATCACCTTGATCAAGAAGGAAGTCCACGAGTGGATTTACACTGAATGTCAAGCTCTGGCTCGTTTGGCATTCCGGTTCAAGGAGAAGGGTAATCCTTCTTCGTATTGTACTTCATTGGCAGGAAATCTGCAGCATTTTGAAAAGGCGGATGTCTTGTCTGGGAATTACATCTTCCACGAGTAAGATACAACGCATTGCGCCCGGCTTTTTGCTCTTGGCCTGTACGTTTGTCTTACGCTTATTTCACCATTAGGTACCGTCCTGATGTGATTCAACGATACTTTGACTATCTACGACCAGACAACTTCCGAATTATGGTTGTGTCACCTTCATTTGATGCTGCAGGATGGAGTAAAGCACGATATTATGGAACAGAGTATACGGTTACCGCTTTCAGTGATACACTACAGCAGGTAACGACGAGGTGGAATCGGCCAGTTTGGTGAATTGTAGATGACTTGTTTTATCTTCCCAGTTGTGACTGACTATTTGTTGTGTTGTTGATAGGCACTCAAGACCAGTATACTATCAACAGACTCTGAACTGCATTTACCTGAACCTAATGATTTCATTCCAACGAACTTTGATGTTAAGAGGATACCGAAACCTGAGGTTTGGTTGCGACATCTTACCTCACTAGCTTCGGCTTGCTTTGTCTTAACTCAATTTTTCTCACGTTTAGACAATGCAATACCCCAGCATCATTCGAGAAACACCCACCATCAGGCTCTGGCATAAGAAGGATGATACTTTCTTTGTACCAAAGTAAGACGAAACATTGATGCTAGTCTGTTGTATGAGTCCATTACTGAGAATCGCTTCTCTCTTATTCCAGAGTGTATACCACATGGCTCATCAAGAAGTAAGTTTGCAACGGTCACAGTGATCGTCCCACTACTTCCTCAGTTGCTTGTTTTCCTCCCTAGCCCATACGCATACGCAAGTCCCAGAAATACGGTCTTGGCTCGTCTCTTCACAGAACTTATGAAGGACTACCTCTCCGAATACTCTTACTACGCAGAAGTCGCTGGTCTGCATTATGGCTTGGACATTCAGACTGATGGTGTTCTGGTAAATCATAGGGCCAAAAGGAGCCATTGTCAACCTCAAATTTAGAATCTAACCTCGATCCCTTTCGCACAGCTTACAATGGATGGATATAATGACAAACTGTCGATCCTCCTATCCAAAGTGGTAGACAAGATCAAACACTTCCATGTTGACTCGAAGAGATACGAAGTGGTCAAGGAACAACATGAGCGCATGTACAAGAATTTCAGCAAGGAAGCACCCACTGCTCATGCCATGTATTGGAGCAGTTATATGTTGCAGGAGAAGATGTGGTCGAATGCTGAGAAATTGGATGCGATTCAATGTAACTTACTATATCGATGGCATTTTTGCCACCCAGGCCTTCCCGTACAGTATGCTTACACTTTCTTTCTGATACTAGATGTCAAAGAATCTCAAGTCTCGGCCTTTGTAGAGGAATTCTTCAGTCATTTCTATATTGAGGCTGTTATTCATGGCAACGTGAATGCGGAGGCAGGTTTTGCGATGAGTTCTTCTCAAATCGCGCTTTTTCTTTCGTTTTTTTTGTCGCTGCAGAACTCATCCGACTGCTTTTGATCATAGGAAGCACTCAAATGGGCCGACATATTCGACGAAGCCTTCCACGAACTCCCACTCCCCCTCATACAACGCCGCGAGCAATTACGCTCTCACGTGCTCCACCCCACATCCCACATAATCCATGCACGACCTCTACCCAATCCAGCAAACCCAAACTCGTCTATAGAATACATGCTGCAAATAGGAGACCCGATAAACGATGTATTACGATCACGCACCATCCTGTTTTCTCAATTGATTCAAGAGCCTTGTTTTGATCAATTGAGGACCAAGGAGCAGTTGGGATATATGGTGTTTTCGGGGTTGAGGAAGATGAATGGGAACAATTTCGTGAGGGTGATTATACAGAGTGAGAAGGATCCTGCGTTTCTGGAGACTAGGATTGAGGCCTTTTGGGTGTCTATGAGAGTGGGTGCTGCTTTCCTCCTTTGTGGAGTCTTTTGCCTTTTCTTTTGCTTGAAGGGCGGCTGAACTTATATTCGACTTCTCCCACTAGGCAACGATTGAAACCATGTCAGACGACGACTTTGCCCGCCAACGGCAATCCCTTGTCTCCAAACTCCTCGAAAAATCCAAGAAACTAGTCGAAGAGTACCAGCGCCTGTGGGTCCACATTGCATCAGGACAATACGACTTCGCAGCTGAAACACGCATCGCAGGACTCGTATCCACAATCGCAAAGCCCGACATGATTGAATTCTTTGATTCCTACATATCACGAAATGGGGCATCACGAGCTAAATTAAGTACACATATACAGAGTGCTAGTATTGTGGATGTGAGTCCTGAGGGATTGGAGTTGTTGGGTGATGAGAGTCAGATGGTTGTTGATGGAGATGATATGGAGGCGTTGATTGAGATGAAGAGTCGATGGGGGTTGGCTGCCTCGTCCTTTCCGTGTAAGAGTGTAGAAGAGTTTATGGATGTGAAGGAGAAGAAGGAGGGTGTGAATGGGAGTGTGTGAGTGAGGAAGGGGGGGGGGGGATAGAAATATGGCGTATCTTTTGAGAAAACATATATATTTGTGGATTTTGGAAATCCATTTGGTTGTTTGTTGGTTTCGTGACACGAATGGAAGTGGGGAAGCAACTTGTGATGTTGAAATTGCATTGATATACATATCTTCGTCTTTTTTTCACCTCGTAGCGCAGAAACCTTCTCATCACAATCCTCATTCAAGAAACTACACAATCTCGAGACCAAGGTCAATGAACTACTCATGAATCCTTGGGCCTCAGATACAAAGCGCTGGCCGGCTCACACTCTGATCAGAAACACGATAACCAAGTCATCACCCCGCAACCTGTCGTACGAAATGACGCGAATGACAGGAGCTACAAGATCAACCGGCAAATTAAGATGAGAAGACAATGAAAGCCCATTTCTAGATCTCAAGAACTGCATTCGAGTCGCTTCAAGGTGAAGCACAATCATATGAGGTTCGAAAAGCGAAGTTCACCACAATTACAAAGACGATCACCAGGATTTGTAGAGGGTTCAACTATGTAGTATTATTTGAAACGACGAGAATATACAATGAGCAAGAGGGCGGGCTTAACCACCAAATCCGTAGAGAGTTCTTCCTTGACGTTTGAGGGCATAGACGACATCCAATGATGTGACGGTTTTACGTTTGGCGTGTTCAGTGTAGGTGACTGCGTCTCGAATGACGTTTTCTAAGAAGACTTTGAGGACACCTCGAGTTCTAATTAGAAACGAAGGTGAGAATGTGCTTCTGGTAGTTAGATCAAGACCAAACATTGTAGGCAATAACTCACTCTTCGTAGATCAAACCAGAGATACGTTTGACACCACCACGACGGGCCAATCGACGAATAGCAGGCTTTGTAATTCCTTGAATGTTGTCTCGTAGAATCTTTCGGTGACCTACGATGACATGAATGGGTGTGTGATGGGTTAGACGACTGACTTGATATGTTGATGGATGTTGATCTAACGTGATAAATGACCATATGAAAGGAGTAACTTACGTTTGGCACCGCCCTTTCCTAGACCTTTACCACCTTTTCCTCGTCCAGACATGTTTTATAGTTTGTGGTTATTTGTGAATGGAGTTGCTTTGATTGATGTTGTGACAGGGGGAATTGCGTTTTTTTTATAGTCCCATCAGATTTTGTTTTGATTTCATAGTGCACATTAGACCCTTGGACTCTGCATTGGATCTGGCCAATAACAATGATTTGTTGTTTTCGAGATTTGGTCAACTAACACTCCACCATGTGCCCACCGCATTCTCATTGGCTTGTAGAATGGTGGACCCTGTCATCACTTCTCAAAGTAAACAAATCGCAGGCGGGTATAAAAAGAAACGATTCCCCCCTCTAACAAAATCCTCATCCAAACCACACACAAATATCCTATAGGCGAATCGCTCATTGTAATAGTAGCGCATCCTCAAAAATGGCACGAACAAAACAAACTGCACGTAAAGTAAGTGATGCTGCCCTTGATCTACCATCAAATATCATGGAACGACCTAGATCTATCATGTAACTTACAATCACTTTTCTCAATCACCCATCATAGTCAACTGGAGGCAAAGTAAGTACTGCTA